CCTTTGCATAGATCCTTTGAAGAAAAGAGAACACGTTATAGCAACAAAAATAAGAATGATTTGTAGATATCGTTTTCTTTTGTTTAAAAAGTAGAGTATTCTACAAGTTTCATTGCATTCTCAATCTTCTAGGCTCTTATCTCATCTCTCAGTACAAAAAGTAGATGGATAGATGGGTGGATGGGTGGGTTTTATAGGTGGTACATGTGGATGAATAAATATGCGTATATACGTACATACATGAACGACTGGATAGAAAGATGTATGAATTCATAAATGGGTGGTGGATAAAAAGATGGATCTAGAACTCTGCAACACGAATTATGCAATGAAAATTGCGTTTTTAAGCATTTTTATCTATTTTCTGCTTTTGAATGAAATTGGACCAGCTTGTCTGGTTCTATGATGATAAATTGGAATTAAACGAGTGAAAAATCATACGTCTAGTGAGCTGGTAGAATAATTTGATTTTTTATAACTTTCGTCGACAGTAAGTCACCTTTTTTTTTGTGAATTTTGACCTGTTTTTTGAATTTTCCCGAAAACTTAGACCCGTTGGGCTAAATCTGAAGGCAGATTCGGATTCAGCGGAAAAAAATACATGCAAATACATGGGTCTGAATACCGATACTTTTTTTGTGAGGCTATGTTATCTTATGTCCGGGATGCTACTTTCGCGACTATTGCTTAAAACAGGCGTTTCTATTTTCGTTAATTTTAGAGAATTTAAGAAGTGCGACTTTATGAAGAATGGCGAGTACTTATAAAAAGTATAAAGTATATATTTTTCGTGTAGTATTTAATAAGTAAATAAATATAAAGGATTTAGATAGTATTTTTATGAAAAGCGACGTCGATGGTAATGATGAGTTGTAGAAGGTTCTTGGAACTAGAATCTAGAGACAACTAATTCACTTTGTTTTCAGTACGTGCTTTCAATGAAAAATTTAAATTGATAAGTTAGGTTAGGTCAGATGTTTCTGTATGTAAAATGTACGAAAATTAGCTATATCTTAAAGATGATTCCATTAAAGTTACCTCTGACTACATCACATAAGAAACGTGATCCGGGGAGTTTCTAGCTGTCTCTAGATTCTAGTACCAAGAACCATATTTCATCATTACCAACGATGTCAGTCTTCTTACAAATCCTGTAAATATGTCCTTCAATTTTTTTTTTTTGTAGAAGACTCCAGTTTACCAAATCACAACGAAACTGACTAGTATGGCAGCTCGTGATCAACGACTAGTTGATTGGAGGAAGCTATTGCAGGACCCAGGTGAAACTGTCACAACTAGAAAACATATACCTAAGAAGCTAGTATATCATACGAAAAGAAAGCCTTGAATAACTAAGGTCATTGTGGATAAAATTAAAAGAAAAAGGAATCTGGTGGAAGAAATGCTGTAGAAAAGTAAATCAAGCTGATTTTAATACATAAATTTTTTCAACAGATTCTTATCTGAAATAAGTCCCAACTGATGTACTTAATTATTATGAAGAACGTCAGTCAATGTTATCCAAAAAGAGTTACATAAATACATATGACTAAATCTCAATTCGAAATAACCATCCTTCTGCTCAAGAAATTAACTGGAACAATATGCCTTTTCGAAGCTGAATCAGCTCAGTGTGATTATTTTACCAATGTTTTCGTTAAAGAATTAGTTGGTGACAACATGCCAAATGTAAAGTATCCTGTATTGATTAATAATCTCAGCGCTATCGAATTTCATCAATAAAAAATCGAGATATGTTAAAAAATGAACCTATGACGGATTGGATGTGCAATTTCCAAAGAAATGATCACAAATCTCATTACCTCTATCTATGATTATGAACGCTTTTCTTAAAAAGCATGTCCTTCCAAATATCTGGAGGCAAGAAGCATTGCTAACAATATTCAATAAGCAAGACAAACAGCGTGGTAAAAACTGTCGACCTATTAGTTTAGTACTGATTTATTATCAGTAAAATAATAGATTCCATAATACGTAATACAATGCTTTGATCCTTGCTGTCTAATAAAGTAACTCCAAAAGAACGTCATTGGTGTTAGGTATATATCTACTTAGACTTTGTCAAAGCATTCGACAGGATGCAAGAAAATGTTTATAAAACAAACAATAACAAAAAAAATGTAATTGCAAACACATTAAGCAAATAAATAATTCAAAAGGCAACTACACTTTTTGATCATAAATTTCATTATAAACAAATGGAGGTAAATTTTAATTTGGATAATTAGATACCTACATAAATTTCTTAACACTGCTTGAACACCACATTGTGATTTTTCTGAAATTTGATAAAATTTTCTTTATCCATAAGATTTATCTCCCTCAAAAAATTTTCCCCTCCGACGTGTGTGGTCGCAAACAATATTTTGAAATCATCCAGCATGAAATATATGTATAAAGGCAAATTAAAAAGATTATTTTAGGATTATTTTAGGTCAGGAGGCATTGATGAATCATCCAAGGATCCAAGGCCATTGGTTTTCGGAATACAAGATTTTGGAATAAAAAAAATATCGTAATTAGGTATTCAAATACCTCTCAAGATGTTTGTCGGAAATTTTATTAAATGTATGCTAATTATTTATGTAATTAAAGTAAATTATTATCTAATTAAAGATAAATTATTATCTAATTAAAGACAAATCTGTCAACCAGTGACAGACTAACAGAAAGATCTTTAGATTTTCGACGCTAAGTATACCTAAGAATAGAATAGAATAGAATGGAATGGAATAGAATAGAATAGAATAGGATAGGATAGGATAGGATAGGATAGGATAGGATAGGAAAGGATAGGAT